TTTTTCTTTCTCTATCTGCCCCCAAATAGAAAATAGCTCAGCACTCCTTTAGCTGCAGTGGAGTGAAGATTCTTCTTGATTTTAAAACACTGATAAGTACCTTAACATACAAAGCCTTAGTCAAAATACTGCAATTATTATATTATAGTAACTTCAGACACCTGCCAGTTCAGAGATTGTATTCAGTATTCAATATGCAAAGAAAAAAAAAATCTATACGGGATGTAATAAGTAACACATATAGGTTACATGTTTTATATGCAAAGGTAATTGCCTCAAAGAAAATTAATCCAATTCTTCAAGTCTCTTAGAGACATTTGAGTTTTAATTATAGTATGGATATTTATGGTATTGCCCCTAATTCTCCACCTAATGCAAGATTAAGTTATTGATTATTGACACAAAAAATTCTATACATTTGTGTCTTCAGTCATTTTTATGATGGCTGTTATCAAATATAGCCCAGCTATTACACAGTACACAGAAAAAAAAAAAAATGACATCACTTGAACAGATTTTCAAGTTAGTTAGATGGGAGAAAAAGTAAGTATAGTAAGAAAAAAAAGTATTGTAACTATATATAAATGGGCTGCATAAGAATGAAAGAACAGTCTTCCTGAGGTCATAACAATGGTCCATCTAATCTGTCTTGTGGCCAGGAAAGATGCCTATAGGAAACGATAAGAAAATGGGGCAATAATTAGGCAATACTTCTCTCCCATAAATTGTCAAAAATGACAGTAGCCCAACGTTTAGGAAGTTCCTAGGCAAAAGGTTGCATCTGCTTTGCAAATCTAATTGCTCCTGCAGAATTTTCCCAAGCTTTCTTTACTAACTCATATTCTGGAAAGCCAAACATCCTACGAAAATGAAATCTATGTTTTTAATTTAAGTTGTATGAAAACCTTTCACTTAATTGTGATTTTCCTGAACTCATGTGTCTGTATCATTCCTAACTTCAGTCAACTATTCTGCAATCTGAACACTTAAGGCTATCTTTTGCTGCCATTTTTGACATATTTTCTGGGAAGAAGAAATCAGAAATGTGGAAGCATTCAAAAGAGAGATGTACTGTTGAATTAACTGGTGTTATAATTTGATTTTCTATTTCACTATTTACCCTCTTTTTGCAATTTCCAATTTTATTTTTGTTCTGCATTTCACAATCAGATACATAAAAAAATCTGCTTAAAAAAGCTTCATTTCTGAGACTTTATACCTGATTTAGTATCTGCTCTTATTTCTAAACTCAGAGTTTACTTTTCCCTTCATGTGCATTATTTGGCATTTTTGAATCTTGAATCTCACCTACCTTCTTATTGAGTACTCTGTGCTGTGAAATCTTACTGCAGATTCAGTCAATTTGTTTTTTTTCAAGCTTAAGAGGTATACAAAAGCATCAAATTTTAGGATCTTGCTATTCACCCCAATCCTGAGTTCCACAAGAATATTTAAGCAACTTCAAAAACCAAAATCTGTGGGATATCTACATTACCTTTCCTATTTTAGCAAGGAACCACTTAAGTATAAAGTATACCTTTTAATTTCTTTTACCTATTATTGATCATTAAATTGAATCCTAGTCATTGATAGTTTTCTTTCTGAGCCACAGTGAAGGATCTAGTTGATAGCTTCTTGAAATACATCGGGGGTTTCAAGCAGGTAACATATACATGTTTGTTAACATTTAAAGAGAAACCATACATCTACTCTATTTGTGAATCACAGACTTATTCAAATGTCCTATGTTTACTCATAGTCAAATCCTTTAGAGTATTTGTCTGTGGATGATGTTATTTAACATATTTCCTTCAACATTTGCCTGAAATAGCAGTCAGACATAAAAATCTTTAATTTCCCAGATTCTTTTGTTATCCTTTTGAAAATAGTCATTACATTAATTCATTCATCAGACACTAAAGCAAATTTAAGCAGTAAGCTATCAATTACAAACAAGATAAGCAATCTCATATTTGATTTTCTTTGAAGCTCTAGGCCTAAAGTAATTTCATCCTGACAATACATAGGCATTCATTTATTATAAAACATCTTTGGGACAGTTCCTTAGAATTGACACCCATAAAGAAAAAACTTCTTTAATGGCCATCACTGTTAATACCAATGCAGAGAATTATTTTATCTTTTATGCAGGACCTTCTCATCTGCTGATATTCCTTTTACATTCAATATTATGTTAGTTATATGAATTTTTTGGCATGGTTTCTGCTTCTGACATATTAAAAAAATATTATTCATTTTTATGCTGTTAGCAAATAGCTCCACAAGATTTTTTTTGGCCTGTTTTATTGTCTACTTGAGTTTATGTTGCCAAAGTCTAGACTGCCTTCTTTCATCTTTCAGATACAGTTTCTGCTTTTCAATTCTAATGACTTCTTCAGCCTTCTTGAAATGAAACCATTGGCAGTGAGGAATGCAAGAGTCATAGGACCAGGAACCAAACAGACAAGAGGAGCTTGAACCTAGCTGAGCAGAAAGGGTAGAAAGTGAGCTTGTGATCTCTTATTCGAGAGGTCCTCTGCTTTTCTCTTATGATGATCTAATGTAAAATGCATACACTCTGGCAGAAGCAGAAGCAGAATCTAGGACCTCAGTCTGTCCTCACTCAGGGGAGGGCTTCTATTTTCTATATGGCTGTATGACTTAGCAAGGTGGCCATCACCTCTGTATTTCACAAATGTCTGGGACAATTATTGATTTCTGGCAGAGAGACTTAAGTGTCTCTGACAGAGACTGAGACTTCACTCAAAACTCACATTTCTCGTTTTGTCTAGGATAATATTCTTCATAGAAGTTTATATCCTGCTGTGTTTTGGATTTGTGACTAAAACAGTGTTGATAACACAGGACTGTTTTAGCTATTGTTGAGCAGGGCTTACACAGTCTCAAGACTTTTTCTGCTTCTCACTCCACCCCACCATCAAGGATTCTGGAGGTACACAAGGAGCTGGGAGGGGACACAGCTGGGACAGCTGATCTCAAAATCAAAATGGATATTTAATACTATATGACATGCTCATCAATATAAGCTGATGAACAAAGGTGGGGGGGTGGGGAAGAAGGGGGAGAAATGGGGGGATGAATGAGAAAAAGGGCATGTTTGGAGTGATGGCATTTGTCTTCCCAAGTCACTATTAGGCTCCCTGCTTGATGATGGAGCTCTGCTTTCCAGGAGATGTCTGAACACCTGTCTTGGGAAGCAGTGATTTAACTCCTTGGTTTGTTTTGCTTCTGTAGGCAGCTTTTGCTTTACTTAATAAACTGCCTTTTCCCTCAACCCACAAGTTTTACGATTGTCGCCCTTCCAATCTCTCCCCATCCCACCATGGAGAGAGTGCAGACTGAGCAGAATTAAACTTCAACATTCAGCACAAGTTCTGTAAGCACAGGGCAAGCCCCAGTTTTAACCCAAATATAAAATTAGAGACAGGGACATCTCTAGATCAAAAGGCCGTTGTTTACTTTCCCATGGCAGCAGTGTCAGTGAAATGAAATTGCCTTAGTTCACCTTCCATTCCTCACTCTGATTTTTAGCCTTGCATCCTTTTGATTAATATCTTTTTATTTTCACCACTTTAAAAAATAAACTATGCAAAAGTCTTTCCTGACTTTTAAATCTGCCACTCTCCAGAGAGCTAAATGCTAGAATTAATATATAGTCAATCGTGCAGTAAACATTTGTGTTCCTGTATTGGTGTTTCAGTTTGAATCAAGAGTAATGTTTAAACAAATCTCCAATTGTTCTCACTAATCACACTTTGTATCACAGCATGCAGCAGTCTCAGCACACAGAAACCAAGTTCCTTTTACACTGAAAATAAACTGAGGCTTTCAATGGACTCCAGGTACAAATGAACCTTCTAATATTCATGCATCAGACTGGTCCGAGTTGGAAATTTTGTAAAATGTGTATTGAATAAGCATCATGTCTTCAGACTAAGTGTTTTGCTCTCCTTATCCTTGCCTTGTGGTACAGACTTTTTAGTCATGTAGATGGAATTGGAATTGGTACTAACATACCCCTTTGTAGCAAACTTTCCCTTCTGACAAATCAAGTCAAAAAGCTTAACCATGATAGACTCAGAAACATTGAAAAGATTAAGTAAAGTTTCATTACATAATTCTTCTTCTTAAAATGTATGTAAAAAATAAAGCTGTTGTGATATAATACACTGATTAGTCTATACAGGCATTGAATGATTATACCAACATTTTGTCTATGCTTGTTATGGCTCAATGTTGTATAACTCTGTATCCCCCTGGGCATCCAAATAAAAAAGAAAAATATAAAATCCCTAAATTCAAAATAACATGCTTGTACATTGTTCTGATATATGTACTCTTATGCCAAAGAAAGCAGTTTAATTTGTTTTCAATTACATTTTAGAATGTATATAAAATGAATTGACAGTAATATATAATATGTTCTAACACTTGAAACATCAATCAAACATATATCTCAGTATTTAAATTGTATAAAAAGCATGCAAATAATCTGGTCTTCTTTTTGTTATGGTTTTCAGTTATCTTTTACTGTTTGTAATTCTTTGACTTTTTAATAAACAGAACTTTATTGCTGCTTGCCATCAAAGTAGCTGAGATTTTCTAAGCTGTCCTTGTCAGAATCATGCAAGTTATGCAACCAAAAAAGCACATTTATCTATGCTGAGAATACCAGACTAAACATTTTTACATTTTATAAGGAATTGTTATTTTACAATAAAACCTACTTGCCTAAAATTTTTTTCAGAACATAAATAGTTCTAATATTTATCTTTCAAACCATGCAGTTTTCTAAACAGTTTTGTTCTTCTCCAATTACTACACATTCTGTCAAAAATCTGTGCTGTTTGTTAGCCTGGTACAACATCTGCACAGTTATCAGAACTCAGAAACACACAGGCTTCCCAAATATCATTTTATGACATAAAATAATACTTCCTGAAAATATTTCACACAGCCTACCAAGAAATTCAACTTACCTTCATAAAGTCTCCTTCATGGGAAAATCCTAAGCACAATACAAATAAAACCAAACAAGTAAGTATTTAAAAGGATAAATAAAACACCGAATTAAATCTGCCTTACAGCTGGATAGTGATTTTCATAGAATCAAAAACTATAGAATCATAGAATGGCTCGGTCTGGGACCAGCCCTAAAGATCATCTAGTTGCAACCCCCCTTCCAGGGGGAGGAACACTTTTCAATAGACCATCCAATCTGGCCTCCAGGCATTGGACATCCACAGCATTTCTGTGCAACCTGTTACAGTGCTTCACCACCCTTACAGTAAAGAATTTCTTCCTAATGCCTAATCTAATCTATCCTTTTTTTCAATCTGAAGCCATTCCCCATTGTCCTTTCACTACATGCTGTTGTAAGTAATCTCTCTCCATCTTTCTTGTAGGCTCCCTTCAAGTACTGGAAGGCCACAGTTAGATCACCCAGAAACCTTCTCTTTTCCAGGTGGAACAATCCCATTTGTCTCAGCCTTTCCTCACAGGACAGCTGTTCCACCTCTCTGATCATCTTGGTGTCCATCATCTGGACTCACTCTAACAGGTCCGTGTCCTTCCTGTTCTGCAGACCCCAGAGCTGGATGCAGTGTTCTGGGGGAATGTCACCAGAGGGGAGCAGAGGGGCACAATCCCTTCCTGGCCCTGCTGCCCACACTGCTTTTGCCCCAGGACGCATTTGGCTTTCTGAGCTGTGAGTGCACATGACTGGGTCATGTTCAGCTTCTCATCCAGCAGCACCCCCAAATCCTTCTCAGCAGGGCTGCTCTTGTTCTATTCATCCCCAGCCTTTATTAATACCCAGCCCAGGTGTAGCACCTTGCACTTGGTCTGGTCACATTTAATGAAATTCTCATGCACCCACCTCTTGAGCTTCTCCAGGTCCCTCTGGATAGCATCCCATCCTTCAGGTGTGTCAACAGCACTACTCCTCTTGGTGTCCTCCACAAATTTTCTGAGTGTGTACTCCATCTCTTCATCTATGTCATTAATGAAGATGTTAAATAACACTGGTCCTGGAGGCACAGCAGCCACTGATGTCTCTTGGACTCCAAGCCATTGACCCTCTGTATGGGACTGGATGAGATACATCCCTGAGTCCTGAGGATATTGGTGATGTAGTTACCAAGTCACTCCCTGTGATGTTTGAAAAGACATGGCAGACAGGAGACATTCCTGTTCACTTATAAAAGGAAAACATTGCATTATCTTTAAAAGAGTTAGAAATGAGGACCCTGGGAGCTATCAACCTGTCAGCTTCACCTCTGTGCCTGGGAAGATCATGGAACAGAATCTCCTAGAAGCTTTGCTAAGGCACATGGAGGAGAAGGAGGTGATTCAAGATAACCAGCACAGCTTCACCAAGGGTAAGTAATTCCTGATCAACCCAGTGCTCTTCTATGATGTGTGACCACCTCAGTGGACAAGGGAAGGGTTACAATTGTCATTTATCTGGTCTTCTGAAAAGGCTTTGACAGGATCCCTTCTAACATCCTTCTCTCTAAATTGGGTGGGTGGACTGCTAGACAGGTGCACTTAGATAACATTCATCTCAAACAGGAAAGAAAAATGAAAGCAATTTATCAATTACGATTTAAAATTTCTTATTTCTTGCTTTAGACTTGATCATAAAAAACCCCAGCTTTAATTTAATCCTGATTTTTTTTTTAACAGCTGGGACAGTAAAAACATGTTTAAAATTGTGCCATCAAGACTTCTAATAGAAGTTCAATATCAACAAGGTCATAGTCATTACCTGAAGAAGTTAAAAGAGCTGCCCCTTGCTGATATGAGCATGGATTATACCCAAGATATCTGTGTTAAAGAACCAATCAACAGCAACTCAGTTTTATCTTTCCTAAGTTCAGGAAATTTTGTTGACATGTGTGTTTGAACAGCACAAAAAATTCAACAAGTCATGAAGCAACATCCCAGGACTGTAAAGACTGGAACAAATGTTCCAGCGGCCTATCAGCACATGTATGACACACCAGGCCATGACAGTGAATGGAACCAGAACAAGCCAATACAAAGCAAAAGAGAATCCTGAGGAGATGGTGAGAGTTAGAGAGGAAGAACAGAAACTCCACAATTAAAAAAATTAATACAGATTAGTTGAAAATAATTCTTTAAAGCAACAACCTGACTTTTCCAGAAGGAAAATCTAAACCAGACCAAGAGAAGAAAGTAAATTAAAATATTAAAACAAAAAGGGTTTTCTGTCAAAAAAAAATCTTACCTCAAAAGGAAATATGCGTTACATTGTCAATTCAGAAAAATATCAAGCTGATGAACATCTTGAATATTTAGATATAAATTTTAATTATTTAACAAATGGTTAAATAATTAAAATGCAGATATTCTACACAGATCTTCTTTTACATTGTAACAATCTTTGTTCATTTAAAGGCTTGAAGAATGAGGAAACCAGCTCTTCTGGATTTGTGTTAAATACTTGAATGTTGAAATTCTATGGCCTTCAGTATGGAGGTGACACTAGGCAATAATGGTTTCCCATCATTGGCTTTGAACTTGATGAATTAAAACTAAGATAGATGCACTGTGTAAAAAAATTACAAGAAATTCATAAACAATAAAGTTATTTTCTTCATGAAAATTTTCTAATTTCTACTGTAGCATACAGTTTTGTAAGCATCTGGCTTCCAGCAAATCAAATATTACAGTCCAGTCTTAGAACTAATACGGAACTTAGAATTAACAGGATTTAGAACTTGTTCAGACCTTTCAAGTAGTGAGGATCTGGACTTCCTAAAAATCATTATCTTTCAGAAATGGTAGAAGAGTACCAGCAGATCTTCTCAGGATTGGTGTTTATAGAACTTTTATCTAAGGTTGCTGTGTGTAAGTATTATTCAGCTGTGTGATACCTTGCTTTATCCTGAGAGCCAGATCTGATGCTGACAGCGTCACCTTGTCTAGGACTACTATGGATATTGCCTCACCTTAAACACTTTACATAACATGAACTTCTTAGATTCATATAAACTTTACATGGCATTTTCTGGTGATATTCTTAAACCTTTTTCTTGTAGTGGTACCCTACATGAAAACCATTAAATACCTGAAGATAAATGGTCAAAGTTTTGGCTGCATCCAAAGAAAAGCTATGAAACTAGTGAAGGATTTAGAGCACACATTTTATGAGGAATGGCTGAGGGCCTTGCAGTTGTTTAACTTGCAGAAAAAAAGGCTGAGGGGAGATATTGCTCTCTACAACTACCTAAAAGGAGGACATTGTGGTCCTCTCTCTGAAGCAAAAAGTGATAAGACAAAAAGAAATTCCCTCAAGTTGTGCCAAGGGAGGATTAAATAGAAAAAAAATTGTTCCCTGAAAGGGCTATCCCCCGAAGGGTTATTAGTGGAACAGGTTTCTCAGGGAAGAGATTCAGTTACTGTCTGTAAGGAGTTAAAATGCAGGTTATGCAGCACTGTCGTAAAGCACATACACACACAAAAGTAGTTAATGTTCTGAGGCTTATAATTAAAATATCAACATATTAAAGCAGAGTGAATATTAGTTTCCTGGGTACTGGCTCTAAAATAGGACAGAATTTTACATGACTGATACAGCAATATCAAAGCTGAATAATTCTTAGATAGTGATGACAGTCATATATTAAAAAATAAAATTTTGAAAGAAGAGTGTTATCTTCTCCTATTTGCATTCTGATTAGAAATCTAATGTGTTCATTAGTCACAGATGTCTCTAATATTAGGAAATTCCAACATTAAAAATACATATTTTGGAGTCAATCCATCACTTTAATGCAACAATAGCAGTGAAAAAAAATGTATCTTTTATATACAACTACTGCTGGAACATGGTTATTTTTTGTTTGGGTTTTTTTTTTTTTTTTTAAAGGAAAAGGGAGACCCATAGCCCTGAATTTGTTTGCCCACTGATTTCTTTTTGGACAAATATTCATGTGTATATGCTCTAAATAGTTTAACACATTTCCCCTCAATTAGAATGTTTTTATCTGCTATTTGATGATTCCCAAATTAAAAATTTAAACAAGCTAACATAGAAAATCCTTTCATGGTAAACAAGCACCATTGCTGCTGGCAAGCTGAGGCGCTTGAAGCATCCCCCTTGAAGCTGTGTATGCCTTGAAGGTGTCCATCTGGTTGCTCAATCTCTTCTTAAGGAAAGAATTCATGTCTTCTCCCTAGGGGAGCCCTGTTTGGTTGTTAACAGTTTTAGAATAATTTACTCATTAAGTCAGAGGGTAACCTGGTCAGGATCCCTTGCAGGCAATAACTGTTTGGTTAAAATTAAGGGAAATGTTTAGTTAATATCTTGGTAAATTGGGGTTGGATATCTGAACAGGAAACTGAATATTTCATTGCAAGGCCAGAAAATTCAAGATAGTTTTGATAAAAGACTCATTAGCCTCTAATAAGCTGTCAGTGATACTGCTGCATAATATTTTCAGTGTTTAAATTTGCACATGATGCAGAACAGAGCAGTTACCAATTCAGAAATTTGTCATATGATGATAGATTTAAGTAATCATCACACCATACTACTAAGAATAATATCCCAAGTGGATGTCAAATGCAAGTGGGATAGCAGAATATGGTAAAAAATAAAGAAAAAATAAAAAAATTAGATCCAGGGAGAATAGATGGGGAACAATTAGAGTTACTTCATGTTCTTTCCTCTAGTTGCAGTTCTCAAACCAGTCCCAGCAGGACTGACATTCCCTGAACAAGCTAATTTCTTGTCACTTTGGCACATTTGCCACAAAAGCCAAGGATGGAAGGAGTATGAATACAGAACTATCACGTTGCTAAAATGTCCCTTTGTACTAGCATGTAGGAAAGGATAGATGAGGGAAGGTTGTTGGCTATTGCTCATTCTCTACCTATGCTACTTCTATAATTTAAAAAGTGAGCTCTCATCTGCAAAGCTGTCCATCTGTTGCAGCATAGAATCATAAATTCAAAATGAAACATTAAAACACAAGAGGAAGGCAAGCACTGAGCCCCAAGGCAAAACAGCAGCAGTGCAATTCTTATGGACATGTCGGGTACAACATTTATTTGCCCTCAAAATGAGCCAGAACAAATCTTTATTCCAAAGGCTAATGCATGACTTGTGGGAGAAGAGAAATAAGACATGGAAAAACCACTAGCTGCCATTAAACACAGGCACTGAAGCCTCTGCATTTCTGTTTCACAAGGATTGAATTCAGAAGTGAAAAACAGATGTCCCCAAGATCTCTCTTATTTTTCTTCTGTGGCTTAGACCTGAAATAGTACTTATTTATCCTTTTTACAGGAGTGGAAAAAAAGAATGATTTGGTTAATTTCTGCAGCATACTAGTTAAATGTACACTATTTATAATTAAATAATAAAACAATTTTTGAAAAAGCAAAATAACTGTTCATAGGCATAGTAAGATTTATTACTTCACCTGTAGTTAGCAATATAAAATAAAAGTAATCTGTCCAAATCTCTGATCTGACATTGTGGAGCTCACTGCACTCTGACGTTTCTTTTCATAATACATTTACTGCATATTTGCAATGCTTTTTAAAATCCTTAATAGGAGATTATACTAAAAAATACAAAAGACAAAAGCAAACAAGCAAACAAAATAACCTTGCTAAAATCTGAAATGAAAGATAACCAAAGAACCTACTCTATATGTCTTTTTTCTCAATTACTGTTGCCTGTGGATTATTTAGTTGAACAGACAGTAGTTATTTTGAAAAGCAGAAAAGATGTTGTATGACAGTAATTTGAAATAAACAAATAGCAACTAAATTTGATACAATGAGATGTAATGCTTTTGAGAAAAAAATCATACAGATATTTTATAAAGAAAGGAAGTTTAATACAGTTGGGAATTTGAAAGCACCGAAATTCACAGGGAGGTTAT